TCTCCCCCCCCCTTTCCGGCGGCAGAATTTGCTCCCGGACGTTGGTAGCCGGGCCGCATTTGTATCGCCTATCTCCGGACATGTCCTCGCCGCATCGAGAGCCTCGGTTCGAGACGCGCCTTGTCTATCTGATGGCGGGGGTGGGGGTGGGGGGCGCTCCGACAGCGCCTTCGTGCCGCCCGTGCCGCCACACTCCACTCCACCCGACTCCCGACTTGCCGCTCGACCAAGAGGTTCGCCAAGGTGCTGTGTATTTTCCGAAATCCACGCCTACTTACTTCTCATCGGCGCACTGTCAAATTCGGCATTTCGGAGAAGCGCTGCAATGGGAAGAAGTGAAGAAACCAGACCAAATTCGCGAGAGTGAGCGTCTGCGTCGCCGTTCTGCCGCTTCCGCAGCCCTAATTTTTCATACTGCATCCCGCTTTTGTTTTCAGTTTCTTCTGAGCTTCTGTTCAGCTTATATATGACGTCGAATCAGTTCAAATACACGATAGCAACTGAGCAGATGGGACCGGGATTGGACTTGAACTATTTCAAGACAGGCGAAATCAGGAAAACGTGGGCGGAAAATTGTCAATACCCGGATGAGATCGCCACTCCTTACGGCTGCTTTACGAGGGGGCGGTGTGCAGCAGAGCAGTCCCCCTTGAAGTGGACAAGCGGTGCAGTGCCGGCCTAATCAGAGCCAGTTTGTTTTCAATCAGCGATTTGCATAATTTCCACACAGCCCCTGCAGTGCCTTGCAGTGCCTTGCAGTGCCCCGGTCCCTCCCGGACCGCCGTCGTGGACCGCCGTGCCGAGGAAATCTTTGGAAATCGTGTCAACTATCGGTAGCGGAGTCTAAGAACTCAAGTGCTGCCGAGCCAGTGCCCTTCCCGCCCACGGGACTTTTGATGCAGGCATATGATGGCGACATCCTGTCGTGTAAAAATGAGAGAAGTATCGATTTCCTGTTGCAAAGAATTTAAAGCTGAGTGTTTGCTACTGTTCCGGGTCAGACCACGAAACTTTGCTGTGACGAAATAATTTAGCCACGTGTGACTTGGAAAAATGAGCGAAGGGGTTCCTCCAGTCAACTGAGTGACAATCTGCAACAGACGCACGGCCCTCTAGAATGGTGACGATTCTGGAACGAGCGGTGGACACGCGTCGACGTGCCGCTTGCCTGCACTTTACACGCGCAGCACTGCGGCTGCTCGTCGAACGAGGCGCGCTGAATTTCGAAGAGGGCCGCACTACGCTGCACTACACGCGTACGCCTCGGGATGGAGACATTACGGCGGTAAATCTGCGACTTAGCGTGACAGGAAAAACGATGCTATGTAAATAGGCGGGTGGAGTGGGAAGGGGGAGGGTGGTCAGGCACCCGGCAGGCACTGTCCGTGCGCGCCCAGCTCATGGCTCCTGCAACAGGCGATGCTCGCCCGAGATATTGTAGCACTTTCACTGGCACGCCACGGGGTGGTCGAAAAACCGCTGTCCTCATGCAGGCCATCCGGGCGGCGCGTCCGTCGTGACAAGCTCGGCCGGTCCGCCAGTCCCCCGTTTTCCCTCACTCCGGTCGGGGCAGCCTGACATGTGCACATCTTCATGATTAGCAGATGCGTATCGCCGGCGCAGGAAAATTGCTCTCCGTCCTCCGTCCGCACTGCGTACTCCGTAACGAGGATCCCATCGGGCAGCTCTGTCCACACACTCCGTGCTACACTCCGCGCGGCAGCAGGGCAGACTGACTCCGAACGGCGTCGCTCCATCTCTCTCTCTCTCTCTCGTGTCTGCCCGGGACACCCTCTGTGAGTGCGAGAGAGGCAGAGCAACGGCAGCGGCGTGCGGAATCAGCCGGCCGGCTGGCTTATTTCTCTAGGCAGATTGAACACGCAGCGCGCCGCGTGTTCGCACTAAGTGGGCCGGCCTCTCCGCCACGGGGGCGGGGCCAGGGCGGGGCCAGGGGCCTGTCCTGTTTGTGCCCCACACACTGGCAAAGGGTTTTGAACGGGCTGTTTTCCAACTTTGCTCGCGTTTGACAAGGGCGGCTTCGAGTCGTTCGTCGGGCGTCGGTTCGCAAGGCCTTTGCAACCAGCAGGAGGGTTGAAACGAGGCGGAAATACTCCGCGCGCCAGTGCGGCGCTCGCGGTCCGTGGCGATACCCCGCGCTGTGATTTACCAGTGCGTCCCTCCCGCCGCCGGAGGGCGCCGCTGCGGACGCTGCCCTGTCGCCGAGCGGTAAGTCATGCCCCGTCGTTCCAGAGTCCGGAGGCCTTTCTCGCTGAGTTTCCCGCCTCGGCCTCCGAGAAGCGACCACACTGCTAATGGCCCCTTAGCTCGAAACTGGGCCGGCGCGTCCGTCCACGCCCGTCCAGTGATTTCGTTCTGTTTTAGTTTTGTTTCCGTGGTGCGTCCCCCACACGTCCGAGGCAAGCCAGGCAATCACGGCGGGACGGTTCCGTACGGCGCTTTCGTCGGCTTGTCTCTCTCGCACTCACGGGGCGTCCCGCAAGGTTGGAGAGAGACAGAGGGGCGAAAGCATTGTCCGGGAAGGGACTCCGCAGGCCCTGATGGGCGCCCCGCCGCGCCACGCCCGCCTTCTGATTGGGCGTCGCGACGCCACAGGGCTCCACCAGCTCCACGCGGCGACAGGCGCCCGGACGACGCTACCGCCAATGGCTTCATCAGTGTGGTGGACGCGGCGCGACGCGCATCCTCGCGCCGGACAAGACCCCCCTGCCGCGGCCCGCCCAACAACGGGGCGCCCGAAAAGGCGACGTGTGGCAGGCCGTGTCCCTCTCGCACTCACGGGACGTTCCGTGGGGGTGCGAGAGAGAAAGACAAAATGCCAAAATACTGGTAAGAAGCGAGAAGGACGATGCGGGGCGAAGGCGGCAGCACTGCCTCGAGAAATGCCTCATTTTCGTCGTTACTCGGTGCATCCCTTGACCCAAAGGGCCGTGGAGGGCCGAGGCGCCGAGGACCGAAGGGTCGCCCTTCTCTCATTAGCGCCTCGGGAACGAGGAGCCTAATGCGTGCACTTTCGCCCTTCCCCTCTCCGAACGGAATCAGGTCAGGCCAGCACCCACAAAAACGATTCATTGATTCCAAGAATTCTTCAAATTTAGATACGAAGCAAAAAATTAGCTGGAAAAATGTCCAATTCCGAAAAAAAATATTAAAAGTAGAGCGTCTGAGCATATATATCTTTCTTTAAATGACGCTGCAATGGGATCTGAAGTCCAAATGGTATTGCCTGCCAGCTAGGGGTGTCGTGTGCGTGCGCGTCTGTGCGTGTGTGCGTGTGTCTGTGTGCGCTCGCCCTGGCCTCTGACCCACACTGTGTCACTGTCGTTGGCATCCGCCGTGGGCCCTCGACCTTCCTTTACCCCCCCCCCCCTTTCCCCCGGACCATGGATCGGCACACTCACATCCTTGCATAATAATTCCGCACTCGTAGCCGCGAGTAAAAGTCGTAAAGAAGGACTCGGCTTGCCGGGCCTCCCCACCGCTGCTCCTGTCGGTCCGCACTCCGCCCCCTCACTATCGTTTATTTTCTCCAGCAGGCGCGCTTTTCCACGTCGTCAGATTGAAAGAAAGTAATATTTTTCTTACTTAAATTTGGGCGAGGAAAGTGACCAGCGGACTCAATGGCCCCTGTGCAGTGCCGCGGCCTGCGCACCTGTTTCTATCCACCTGCGCCCCGAACACGGAGCACGTCCGGCACGGCCGGCAACTCGGCCGGCAAGGCCCCACCGCGGCGGCGGTCCATTGCGTTCGATCTTCATCCGCGACGTCCGAACAACCAATCCCAGCCCCAGCCCATCCGTCAGCCCGTGAGAAACGGGCCCACTCCGGCAGGCCGTCTCCCTCGCACTCCTGGGGCGTGCCGCATCGGTGCGAGAGAGACGGGCCGACGGGCTGCGGGGCTAGTCAGACTTTCGCCCAAATTCCGCGACCCGTCCCGGGCCGTCGCATCGCCCGGACAATGCGATCACTTTCTTCTGCGGGCTCGTAAAATGCAGTGTAATTTTCATAACGTGTTTATGTCAAACAAGCTCGTTCGTTATCGAGTCATCGGCTCTAGGAACCCGTTCCGTGGGTGATGTCACATCGTAAACGGACCGTCCCGTCCCGCCAATCATGATTAAGGAGCTCTTAGTCTGTTATTAGTCGCTGGCCGCGGCAGTCGCGGCAAGGACGATGGATTTCCCGAGGCCCACTCACCCACTTTCGGCATCTCCACCAAGATTTATGCGCGCGGAGCGTGCAGGAAGAGAGGCATAAAATCCACAGAAACGGGGCGAAAAAAAAGAAATGATGGCGGTGGTGAGCCGTTGTGACCACTGCATATCCTAGCCGAGTTAACTGGGTAAACACGTTGGCTGTCAACGAAACGCGGCCAGGCTGCACATTAGAGCCGATGGTTATCGACGGCCTCGCCCGCCCCGCCCCGTCCCCCAAAGACATCGTCGCTTCATGACGGCTCCTCAATGCCTCTCCCGACCATTAGTGTCCAATCTGCACCGCCCCGCCACCCGGCTGACTGACCCCGGGCCGCCCGGACTAAACGAACCCTTACCGTTGCCGCCGAAGGCGCATTTCTTTTCGGATTAGTGATGCTTTTAGATTGATTCCTTGATTGTATGTACTCAGATGAAAACTAAAAACGTCGTTGGGTCAGTCAGTGTTTCCAGCATGAAGCAGTGTCGAAGTTCTCGGCGATCTTAGCCTGTAAACAGGGTAAGATAGGGAATTTATTTGGCACCAACGGCTCGTGAGACGGAGCTTTTACGCTGTGTGGCGTTGACAGAACAGAGTGTGTTGGTGTACGAAACATGAGCCCCGGCTCCCAGCCCGACCGGCTTCGCAGCGAATCAAGTCATGAAGCGCCGGCGAGGCTGGCCACCCATCGGACACCCACAGCACGGCGAGCGCCGCAGTGGGTAGGCCACCCATTTGGCACCCAAGAGAACGCCGCGCCGCGTAGGCCGCCCATCGGACACGTTAGGTACACTCGAACCGTTTACATTTATTTCAATCAGACACAGGGACATAAACGGACAGGTCCACTCAGGCGCAATTAACAGTGTTAATTTAACACGTGCCTGTACACGACGCGCACTGCAGCCAGAGCGGCTTAGTTAAATGCAACAAAATCACGCCCGTGGCCCGTGAAACAGACCACGGTAAAAATAGCCATTAGATGAGCAATAAACGTAACAACAACAATAACGTGTCTAGTTTCACTGGCCAGAACACCGCAGTGCCAGTTTTAGGAGTCCAAAGTCCGCGGTCTGCGCCACAGACACGGCTGGGGCTCTGGGCTACAGCCGCAGGGCCCAGACGGTGATGGCGGTGTGCGGCGGCGGCGGCGAGAACACGGGCGCGCCGTCCGGGCCCAGGAAGGCGTCGTAAGCCACGCCGCCCAGCCGCGAGAAGCCGCTGCGCTCCGCCACCCTGGCCGAGAAGGCGCCGCTGCAGACGCACCGCACCAGGGGCAGCCCCTGCGCCCGCGCCAGCTCCCTGCAAGCAACGCGTAGCAACGCGCGGGGAAATCATTTTCGCCGCCAAGCGCCTGGAGGGTAGGCACCCCGCCTACTCGCGTACACGCCTGTTAAGCGGGTGGCCTACGCTGCGTGAAAGCAGGCGCTCAGCCGCGCTGAACCGGATGATACGCGGAAAGGTTCGACTGTTCGGCGGTGCCCTCCAACTTGGAACGTCGCCACTTACAGCGTGCGCGCCATGAGCGCCGTGGCGATGCCGGACTTGGTCCTGGTGGGGTCCGTGGCGAGGATCTTGACGTCGAGCGCGCGCTGCACGTCCGGGTGCGCGGCGAAGACGTCCGCCGCCACCTCGGCCGCGTGGTTCACCGCCAGGATCTTGTCGAACTTGGAGTCACCCTCGCGCACCCTGGCGTCCTCGGGGCGGGGGCCCTCGCCGCGCCGGATCACCTCGTTGAGGATGACGCCCACCACGGCCTCCGCGTCGGCGCCGGCCTCTGGCCCGGCACGCGCGCACAGGCTGAGCCCCGTGGGCACCGCCACGCGGCAGTACGCCTCGAGCTCGGGGCAGCCGCCGTCAGCGCCCACCAGGCCGATCTGTAAAGGACGGAACCAGGCTCGGTAAGTGTGGTCAAGACAATGGCGAACTGGGTAAAACCAAGACGTCGCGTCAAAGATTTCGACAGGCACACTGTGCCCAGTTTAAACGCCCCTCGAGGCCCACAGAGTACCGCAGCGCATAGTGCAGACCCGTGTCCAAATCAAAATCAGAGCCAGTTTTGTTGCTTTTGGGGTGTTTCCGATCGGCGATCGCGGGTTCGTGTTTCAGCGGTAGAGTGGCTTTCAGAGGCAAAAGGTTCTTCAGTTTCCTGCCATCCCGTCCCCTCCCCCCTTACACACAACCCCACTCCGGACGAACTGATCCATTTGAACATGTAATTCACTTAACTCCACCATCACTCCCGACCTCCCTCCCTTCCTCCCTCCCTCCTCCCTCGCTCCCTCTCTCCCTCCCCTCCTCCCCTCCTCCCTCCCTCCCTTTCTCTCTCTCTTTTCCCGACCATGGAGCTTCAAATGGCGCGACTCACGGAGTGCGGATGGAAAGAATCGAGCGGTGACGCTGGTGAAATACGTGACAGAGAAACAATTGAAAGCGAAACAACAAAGTGGAGTGGAAATAAAAAGTCGGTCGCTGCGACAACTCCGGAGCAGTGCCGACCGAGCTCTCATTAGCAGTGGCGCGAGCACCACCCCGCGAAACTTGGACTCAGCTCGGCGTGTTCGAGTCCGACGTTGTCTGTCAGCCGACTTCTCTGCGGAAGCTGCAGCAGGGCAGTACGAAAGGGAAAGGAAGGATGCCAAAATCTAGACCTTAGTACCGACAAAATTTTAAAGAAACTCATTTTTTCAGTTCATTTTGACTTAGCTCCCGGGAGGGTGGCTCACCGACGCGTTGAGCGGCTCGTTCGGGAAGAAGGACTTCTTGAGCATGTCGATGACGGCCTCCGCGTCGTCCTCCGTGGCCACGTCGACGCGCATGGCTGCAGCACGCTGAGGCACGCTGAGGCGCCAGGCAACTCTGTGGGATCAATCAAAAGAATTTCTGGTACAAATGTGACGAAACAATTGAAGTACGAGACAACATTTCGAGATTGTGAGAAACGCATTAGGCTCTGGCCGTTCACACCATTGCGCTGTTTACTCCTGCACGTCCCTGGGGCCCTGGGGCCCTGGGGCCAGCCTAATTACAGAGTAGCGTCTGCAGTCACCTTGGCCGTGGCCCAGCCGGTCCAGCCTTGCTGCCTTCGGCTCCTTCGGTTGGGCCGCCGTAAAACTCCCGCACCAGACGTCATCTGTACACGGCGCACGTCAGGCCACGTGGTCGCCGCGTCGCCGTCACGCCGCCGAACCGGAAAGATGAGTTCCTGTCCGCGCGGCACGGATGGCACCGGTCCACCCCCGTGGCTGGACCGAGCAAGGGTGCGACGGCCCGCAGCCACCGCCAACAACAACACACAGCCGGAGGACGAACAACGAAACGAAAACAAACAGAACGAACGTCTTTTTTCGGTGCTGGAAAGAACCCGAACAGCATGGCGCGTGGTCGTGGACATTAAATCCTTTTTGCCGCGCGGGGTAAGCGGGGTGGGCTGGACATTAGCAAGGGCACTGGGCGGCTCGCTGGGCACGCAGTGCATGCAGTGCTCGCAGTGCAGCGTCACTCGATCCGCGCCGCCACCCCATGCCTTCTATGGCTGCCCTTTCGCTGATGGACATTAAAGCAGAAAACTCCCACGAAAAAAAAGGGCAGCCGCGGATCAAGCCGAGCCAGGGATCGGGCCCCGAGCGCCAACGAGCCGTGCCATGGCGATTGGTTTCCTGTCTGCCGAGTTCAAGTGTCCTGCCTAACGAGGCTTAATTGGTGCTTCCCTGCCGCGGGTGGAGGGGGAGAGGGGACGGGAGAGGGTTGTCAAAAGGGTGCCACGCTACAACAACTCTACACAGGCGTGCCCAGGCGTGCCGAGCATGGAATGCTGCCATTCCTGGGACCCTGGGAGGCAGGCATGGCAGTTCTCTTATTGCCTCCCCTTCACCTTGTCTTTCGCCCCATCCCCCTCTCTTCTCCAACCCTGCTCTGCTTCGCCTCGCTCCGCCTCGCTTCGCCCGGTGCTCTTGTGTTTTCCTTTCATTCCAGCCCCTGGCACTGCTTCCATCGCTCGTAAAGTGGGGGTGCTGCAGCGGCAAGCACGCTGACTCGCGCTCTCTCTCTCTCTCTCTCGCACTCGTGGGACATCGCGTAAGGGTGCGAGAGAGGAAGAGCGATGGACCGAATTTCGGAATCAGGCTCGAGGCAAGGGCGCCAGCCAGCGCCCCCGTCCCCCTCACTTTGCTTTGAGGAGGCGGCGCTGCAGGCAGCCAGCCCGAGCAGCCAGCCTGCCTGCCTGCCTGCCTGCCTGCCTGCCTGCCTGCCTGCCTGCCTGCCTGCCTGCCTGCCTGCCTGCCTGCCTGCCTGCCTGCCTGCCTGCCTGCCTGCCTGCCTGCCTGCCTGCCTGCCTGCCTGCCTGCCTGCCTGCCTGCCTGCCTGCCTGCCTGCCTGCTGGCTGCCTGCCTGCCTGCCTGCCTGCCTGCCTGCCTGCCTGCCTGCCTGCCTGCCTGCAGCCCTGCAGCCCCATCCCGGCAGTGCAGGCTGAGCACACAGGGCTGTGCGCTATGCGTCTGCCGGTCTAGCTCTCCGCACGTGGACCCGGCACTCGAACCAACTTTGGCCTCAGACTGCGGTGCGCTCACACTGCGTAGTCTACGAAGCGTCGCTTTGCAATTCTAGAGTGGTCGTCGTGAGGGTTGGGCAGCTACGCTCTCCAGCAGCACCACATGCTTCTGGCCTACAGCGCCTGTGAGGTAGGACACCGCTCCGGCCCGGAAGACACCGGTGAGGAGATGGTGGCCTACCTTGCCCCTGTCGTCCTCCCCGGAGCGAGGTGGGAAGGTCACTCTTTGATAATAGAGCGAAGTCGTACGATGCTTAAGCCCGACACTGATAGCTAGCGTCCTAGCGTGTGTGTTTACCTTGCACTGGGAATTAAGTGATAGCGGCGGTGTCGTGGTTCTGATGAGAGAAAAGTTAAGTGTCTCTCAGGCAAATAAGCACTTCGGTAATCTCATGTAGGTCATCTCATGCAAGTCATTGTCTAGTTTGTGATACAAAACCAAGTTCATTTGCGAACTCTTCCTCTCTCCTCTCCTTTCCCGTTCTCAACCCCGAACTGAATCCACAGCGAGGCCGGGTCCCTTCTCCTAGTGTCAACACGCGCCGAGGCCGAGGCTGGATTGGCCAAACGGGGAGCACCTTTAGTAGCAGGCCTGCCCTGCCAGAGCGAGATTGGCTGCCGGAGACTGGGACATGTCTTTCTCTGTCTTTCTCAAACACATACTCATTGGGCATCCAGGATTGGGTGCGAGAGAGACATACCGGCAGCCCTCCGAGGCGAAGTAAGCAGACAACCTGCTCCACGTGCGTCGTGCACTCACACGAACACGCGCGTGACAGCCGACACTGCTGCCGTCGGCCCGTCGACAACCCCAGCGCTTACCTGCGGCGGGTGCGCAGGACTACGCAGGACGCGCTGGTGGCGAAGGAGAGCCTCCCCGGTGTCGGGGGATCGCGTCGGCCCCGCGGCGGGGCGCGTCTGTCGGCGGGGCGGCCTCCTGGCGAGAAACACTGGCCGGCTGGCTGTGGCGCGGCGGCGCGGCGCCCTGACAGGGCCGGGCCGCGCCGGGGAGTGGGAATGACTGATCGGGCCGGGAGACGGAAGGGCCTGGGGAGGGCCCGGCGCACCCCGACTAGAGCAGAGGGCTGCCGTGCACTGCCGTGCACTGCCGTGCCGCGGTCTGGTCGGTGCGGTGCGCGTTGGGCGCGTTGGGCGGTCCGCGAGTCCGCGGCGATCGTGGGCTCCGGCGGCGTCCAGTCCGTCTGTCCGCGCGGAGCGTCGCGTCGGCGTCGCCACTCTGTGGAGTCTCTCTCCGCCGCGCCTCCACTGCACGGGCCTCGCGCCTCACGGGCCCTCCCCCCTCCCCTGCTTCCTCCTCCCGGTCCGCGGTCCTTCCCTGTTCCTGGCCGGCCGCCCCTCCCCGCCCCTCCCGCACCGCGGCCCGCTCCTCCTCGGCCCTGGCTTAGAGAGAGACGGAGACAGAGCGAGACTCATTCATTTGCAAGCGCCGCGTCCATTGCTGCGACCGAGTTGCTCCGAGTCGCCGCTGGACAATCACTTCGGACGCCGCGTTGCGCGTTCGCGGCGCGTTGTTGTGGTGGCCGCACCCTGGCCCCACCGCGCACGTACACAGGCTAAACTTAGTCCGCGCCGCGCCGACCGCAGCATTGTTTTGCTCCCAAGACGCGTTTTTCAGTCATAGGGCGTTCCGCAGGGAGGCGAGAGAGACAGAGCGACCAGAGCACCGTTCGGAATCGGCCTGCTGGCCACTCGCGTGGGTGGCGTGAGGTGGCGCGAGGTGGCGCGGTCGCGGTCCACTTGTCGCGGCCTGGGACTGGGACGCCTCTGCGGTCGTGCGTCGCGCCACGTGTCATCTACATCCACTCCATCCATTCTGATTGGGTTGCCAGCCTCAGTGGCAAAAGCTACAGAGACCAAAATTCCACTTAACTTTCCATGTTTCTGAAGCGTCAATGGTAGGATCAACAAGAAAATCTCAACACAAAAAGTTAAAACATTTATTTTGTGCGACAAGTTAAAAATTAGCAGTCTTTTAAAGTGAAATAATACATGGTAATCACATTCACTAACAATAAACAGTGCAATGGAAGAACAACAAAGTCTATCACAACAAAGAAAACAAGGTTGTAGGTGGGATATACTTTCTTGAGAATAAGTTATATTTAAGTATATTCAGTGCCATAAGGAATGCTCCATACAAGTCTTACTCAAAATTTAACAAAACACCAAGCAAAGTCTGAACCAAAGGTGCAAGCAATACTAGTATCTATTCAAGTTTCTTGTTCTTGTTTCTATCATGTTTACACTTTTCAACAATGCGGTTGAAATGCACAAGAAGGCAAGCCGCCACAAGACGAAGAGGGCCCATTAAGAGTACCTGAAAAAGATAATACAGTTTTTAGAAATGTTGCAAGAATAATTTCCAAAGTAGTCCTCACACTATTGTCTAAATGCTTACCTCAACAGCTAGTGAAGCATATGATGAAGGAGGAGACATTCCTGCAGCCACAGCACAGACAATTCCACCTTCCAGACCAACAGAACTAAAGAATCGCCCTCGCTGAAAAGGAGCGTAAATAGATAGTTAAGATAGGACAAGATGGATGCATGTCAAAAGAAGTTTCAAAACATACCAAAGCATCTGACAAGATTTTTTCTGCAACAACTTCCGGCTGAACAAGTCCACCAGATTCTGAGATAAGGCGGGTTTCCATTGGTTTGGTTTTTTGCTCATTGGCAAAGCCAGGAGTATCTGTGTCCGGGGGAAATGCAAGTGTCACAGAAACTCCATAAGGCTTAGTCTGAAACAAAGGGCACAAAGAAGGTTAATTTTGTTCTTTAAAAGACTCCAGAAAAACAGGTGACTTATTACAAAAATTGATAAGACATTACCTCCATATGCAAAGCCTCTGCAAATCCACGAAGAGCAAACTTTGTGCTACTGTAGATGGAAAATCCATATATACCAAAAAGAGAAGCCACAGAGCCCGTAACTACCACAACGCCCTCTCCACGACTTTTCATCCTTGCAATTAATGCTTTGGTGGGGAAAACGGTTCCGACAAAATTCATGGACAGCTGATTCTAAATTTAAAAAGATTAAAATAAAATTAGGTTATAACCTAAGATCAGGATATCATCAATATTTGCAACAATTTTTTGAAAAATGCAGTTTGACTGTACCTGAATGTCATTTGCTGATGTGTCTTCTAGCTTCCCACAAACAGCACCTCCAGCACAGTTGACGAGCATATAAATTGGTGCAGTTTCTTCTTCAAGTGTCCACAATGCCTTTTCAACAGCAGCATAATCACTAGAGAGATCAACTGAAAAAGAAAAGATTGTAATGAAATACAAATGGCATCACACAACAAAAGAAGATTAAGAAGATTTAAGAAAACTTACGAGATAGATATTGCACTTTCTGGGAACTGTCAACCACTGCTTTAGTTATTTCTTGAGTTGTTTCTTCTAGGCGTTTAGTGTTACGTGCAATGATTGTAACATGAGCGCCCCTCTTGGCAGCAGAAATGGCAACACTCTTTCCAATCCCACTGGAACCTCCCGTCACCTTTAAGAAGAAACAAACAAAGTTTGAAACCAAAATGTTTTTGAGATGGCTTCAAAGAAAAGAAATGTACGAGCACGAACTTACCACAATATGTTTCCCAGAGATAGAATGAGGTCTCTGCAGCCACTCATAAATAAACTGACCCAAGACCACAAGAGCAGAGACAGAAAATATCCACGTCCCAACAACTGACAGAAAGTCCAACATTTTGGAATGGCAAGTTACAACGCAGGCGGCGGTGCAGTAAATCACGGCTGAAAAACAAGAAAATAACAGAAAATTAGTACAGCAAAGGTGGAAAAGAAACGAAAACTGACATTTGGCGCTGGAAAAAGTGGGAGGAGAACGGCGATGAATGGGTCAAAGAAAGAACAAATCACAAAAAAAAAATACAGAGCAGTTAAAAGCATAGAAAAATCATATCCCATTAACCTTGAAAAAATACCAGTGATGCAGTACACTAAGCACGGATGTTTTAAACACTTTCCGTCTTGACGTTTGAGATCAGCTGAGAAGGGTTATGTCTGTGATGTGTGTGACGTCAGTAGGGCCTTCAGCTTAGCAGACCTGACGACGAAAAATATACTACCAGGAACGGTTTTTAATCAATTTAAAGTATAGAAATTAAGCAAGGCAAGAAATTTCAATCATTTAAAGCAACATTTTTCAGAAAGATGATGGATGAAAGTTGGCATCAAAACGAGGAAGTGCAGGGGGCTGAAAGTGGTGTTTGGGCTTCAAAGGTTGGCAGCACCGGCTTCTCTTGGAACCCTTAAACTCAGAAACTGTCCAATACCACCCGCGCCTTTCCAAGACATCCAAGGCACGCATCATTTCTTTAGAATTATCCGCTTTTAGCCTTTGCCGGCTGTGCTCACTAGTGGCGCTTCAACCATTCTACGGAAGAAGAAAGTGTTTCTAGACTTCTTGATTTCCCCCAAGAGTTGGTGCTGTGTGAGCCACCCCTTCCGCAAGTACTCTCCCCTGCAACCACCCCTCGCGTCGGTCGCGCCACCGCTACCCCTGCGCCACCCCCACCCCCTCCAGTCCGCAGTGTGGAGGTGGGAGGAGTGGGAGTGGAGGTGGAGCGGGACTAGCAGACGACGCAGCGCCAGGCTGTGCCAGTGCCGCAAGTGCCAGCGCAGTGCGCCGCTCCAGCTGTGCTGAGGCTGAGCCAACCACGCTCGCCAAAATGTCAATACTCAAGATCGCCCTGATCCTCCCGAATATCGTGCTATTTGTGTTAATTTGCCTTGCAGCAGGTAAGTACGAGCCAAGACGCCGCTTTTCGCCCACCCACTCATAATTCGCGTCAGAAATCGCGTATACAGACGTTCCTTCGCCCGGACCTTGAAACCTTCCGTCATCTGCCACGACCGTGGTCAAACGATCCTCACGACTCGGTGGTCGTATCCCTGTCGTGACCGGTCGTGCCTGTCTCCCCGTCGCTCTGGGGCAACGACAACGGCCGCGTTTTGCAGTGCCCTGGCAGTGCCATCCACCGCTGTGGCGTTTTTCGCGGGTTTGGCCAGCCCCTGGAGTGCGGCGCGAGGTTAGGAGGCGAGGGAACCGCGGGAAGGTCCATCTCCCCACGGCGTTCGGTCCAGAGCGCAGCCTCCACGGCGCGTTGCGCGTTCGCGTTGTGCCGGACCGCTGCTGCCTAAGTGACTCTAGTGGCGGCGTGAGGAGGTGTGGGAAGCGGCTGCCGGGCGCCGCCGGCGCTCTCTGGCCGCGGGGGCCGGCGGAGGCTGCTCTCATGTCACCGGCGTTGAACAGCGACACAGCGACGAGGCGCAGAGCTCAGCCCCTCGCCTCGCCACCCCGCGCGGTGGGCCCAGGCCCAGGGCCCGGTGGGCGTTGTGGGCGGTGCGAACCCCTGCAATGCAGGCAGCCCATTCGACGCGCGCGCTGATGAGGCTGCGTTCCTGACGCAGTGCGGCGGCGAGGTGTCCCGCTCAATTTCGTCTCGTCGTGACTGGCTAAAGCGATCTCTCTTCTCTTTCTTTGCAGGAAACCCCTTGGGAATACTATACGAGCAGCCAGGTATGATGTACAACAACCCCACGTCTCCTTCCCGTGGGGTGAAACATTTCTTTCTAAGGCATTGTGATCTCGAAGGTTGAGGGCAGACTTTCAGCCTTCTCTTGCATTCCTTTTGACGGTGCCATCAATGGAAATGATAAAATTATTGTTATTTTTTTATTTTTTTATGGCGCGTGTGTGTTTGAATGGCTACTGCCCTTGCTATCGTAATGCTGCTATCGGTGTTCACTTCCTCCGTCCCTTTCCGCGTGTTCTCCGTAATCCCTTTTTTAGCTTTTTTTGCTACTTCGCTGTTCCTTAGCTCTCATCTTACACAAATTCCACTCTGACAATTTTGAAATTTACCGCATTTGCTTATGTATAATCAATACTAGTTTCCAAAAATTGTAACGTACTGAGAAATTTTACGAACTACTTGTCTATCTTTTGTTTGTCAGTTGGAACTTTTTAACTCTGTAAGATGAGAAGCTAGGACCAAGCTTATCAATGTTGGCTGCAAAATAGTTTAAATTATTTTAAAATGATTTAATAAAAAGTGATTCTCTTATCTCGCGTAAACTAGTTGAAAGCCACACCACAATTCAGATTCGTCTTTACATGTAAACAACAAAATCAAAGCAACAAAAGAAAATATGGTTAACTATGACATTCGTTTCTCGCAGAGAAAGCGTTCTGAAAGGTGTTGCATGTTTTCTACAAGAATGTGGCTCGAAAAACTGACTCTAGTTACGAGTAACTACACAAATGACACAATGCATAAGCCACTACTGCGCGTTCCTTCTCAGGCACTTCACCAAACTGAATGGGGGCATGTCTCCCGATTTGATTGACACATCTGTAACCCATTACCTTTTTTTAGCCTCTATATTTTTTTTTCTGGAAACGACATTTCAGCTCAGTGAATAATTAATAACTGGGTTTATGGCTCTGTGATGCCTTAGAAAACTTCGAAGCGAACTGCACCGACTTCCAAGGCCAAATATTCCAACATGGTCTTCGCTACGTCCCGGGCCCCAACGTCTGTTCCTTGTGTGTCTGTTACCATAGTGAGCCAATGTGGTGTCAATCCATCTACTGTGACCCCCCTAATGTGAGATCATTTTTCCATTACTTTCTTCTTAGACATTTTGTTTTAAATATTACATTAGTTCTGGTTTCTCCTTTAGCGCAGGACCTTACGATGTAGATTTTTATTTCACATTTTTCGTAGCTTCACAAAGAAACCGCTACAAGCGGGGAGCAGCTCAGCCCTTGTTTACTGTGGACGATGACGCAACTGTTTGACCTACATGGTACAAAACTCAAACAATAAGTGCACTACTTGTTTCTGCAAAACGTTTTCAAAGTATTGTTTTGCATTATATCGTGTGGCCATCTGTAACACAAAAGTTCATTTAAAGCATGAAATAAGGTACACACAATGATTAGTAAACGTGCAAAAAAATTATAATCTAGAAGTGTTAGTGTCATTTCATATAGGAGCCATCATCGTAGGCCTTTGGCTTATGCAGTGTTCTGCTGGCAGTTGAACGGTGCATTTGAAATTCTTGTAGTGCGAGCGTTAGGCGGTTGGAGAGGGTGTGGCACGTTTTGGGTATTTTGTCTGCGTTATTCCTTAAACGTCTTCTAATTGAAGTTGTGAACAAAGTCGCCACCACCCAAGGGCCAAGGGAGCCGTCCCATCCAGCCTAATTTTATTATCATTTTTATGATTTTGGTATTTTCGTATTTTGTTTTCCTCCTGTTTTTCTTCGGGCACGTTGGTAGAAAGTTCGACGATGAGAGCACTACTTTCCATGCAAATCGTAATCGCTTCATGTCAGTCACATTAATTCGGCTTTCCACACTCTGTCGTGCTTAAAATTTAAAGGATTTGTTGGCATCTTTATTTTACTCTACCTAAATATTATTTCTTTGTAGCTATACTGGAACGAATACTGGTTTATCTTAAGTGGTGCTTTACATCTCCGCGAACTCAACTTTTTGCTCACGTTTTAGAGAAAGTGTGAAGTCGGGGACATGTTTCCGCTGAAAGTGGCATATGCAGTTTACATTTTCATCTCTTCACATCCATTCTTATTCGGCACACTTTAACTACATTGAGTCAAACAACGGTACGCATGCCTACTGTAAATAAAAGTCTAGACCGTGCTTTGTAGTCTCTGCGCTTTTCATTCAACTTTGCCCTTGATTTAATTGTTTAATCCTTAGACGTTATTTGTTTCGTGTGTACCTGTCATTTTCTGCGGTAGCCTTATGTATATGTTCCTTTTATTACGAAGCTAGCCACGTTAAAAGTAATGCTCGATTTTCTTCTTTTTACTTGTTGAGTTAAGTGTGTCCGTTGTTCGTTAGCAGTATTTTTTTATTGCGTCACAATCATACGAGTGAAACACCCTTCAAAATGAAGTGAAAGTAACGACATAAAGTTCTTGAGGCTACCAGATAGCCAAATTCGATCATCAATCATCGTCGAAAAATTTCCCCGCCACCTTTTAATTCGAAACTGACAGTTACTTTCCCTTTGTCCGATGTGGTGCGGGAAATTTCGGCCGAGTCTTGACTGGGTGATGCCTTTTCCACAGCGGTGCCTCAATATCTCGATTGGTGAGCGCTGCTGCGACTACACGTGTCTGGACGACCCGCCACTCCCCCGCTGGCATGGGTCGCGGCGGCACAGCACCGGGGCCGAGGGAGCGCCCCTGAGCCCCGCGCTCACCGTTGGACTGGCCGCACTCACCGCTTTCTGCACACTCTCCGCATCGTGGACCGGCTCTCCGCGTCCTCATCCCACACCGCCACTCAGCTAAGATGAAAAAGGGGGAAAGGAAATAGGAAACTGTCAAAGTGTACGGCTGTGGAGTGGATGGATGAGCCATTTTGAATTCCCGTTTTGATTTTCCTCAAATCGTTGTCTTGAGTTAATTTGTCTGGCTCGCCGCGGTGCTCGAAGATAGTCTGAGTTCATCAGCTGCCTTGGAAGTAAATCGTAGCTAAAGGCCATCATGAAGAGCTTTGCCATTTTTATCAATAGTAGGAACAAATGTTTTTCAAAATCTTTCTTGCGCTAGACCTTAAATAATTTCTCCCTCTCTCTTTCCTGCTACGCCTCGCTGAAAAAGATGCAAGTGACCCATCGTGTGTTACTAGGGTCCGCTGACTGTACATATTGTCGGGGCAACGCAATATTTTTTACTTTTGTATACAATGTCATCTCTCTAGAGCAGCTTTGGATGAGGAAATGACGAGACCAAAACTAGCATTTTTTGTAGGTACGTACGTTCTTGTGCCGCATATTGTCCGTTGGTCATGTGAGCATAACCCGAGAGAGTAAACGATAAACACCCCTGTAAGCCACGTCATCATGACCGTCATTGTGAGTCACGCTGGCGTGACTGGTACGTTTTCATTCATGGGTAAAAGTGTAAGGAAACAAGGTGGTTTGTGAATATTTTCGCTCTATTCTAAGTTTTGATGTGAAGTTCATAAAAAGCTTCAAATGGAAAACCTTTGAAAGAAAATGTACTGAGTAGTTTGGTGAATGGTTTCTAGTGCACTTAATTGCAAAATGTCGCATGTAAATTTGCACAACGTTCACAGCTTTATGTGGAACTGGAAATATTGCCTCCTGACAGTCGCGGAGACCATTGCTTTAAAATCAGGGTAAGCTAAGAGCTAGTCTGGCTTCGAAGAACAAGAAACAAAACACGACAATATTGCCACACGTGCTAAACCATAGTGGTGAATCAGATACTAGGTAAACACGGTTTGGGCTCGATATTTTTATGGGCTTTGTAGGTAAAAGAGTTTGTGAATTGACTTATTTTGAGGATGCTTTCCCCTTCCCATTCAAGTTCATTCCACACAATTGGAAGATCAATTCTGAATCCTGATATGAGGTTTTTTTTTGTAGTAGCAATGCTCAGTCAATTGATGAAGTAACGCCCGTGCACACACAGCGGCCACGGATCCGAGTACAGAGTAGAGATTTTGATATTGCTCAAAATTCATTAGTACGTATGAACCAACGTGATTCCATTTTAGACTGCCTTGCTGTAAGCGCTTTCAAGTTGTGTTTGGAAGCTCCCATTTTGGCAGTGCTGCAGCTTGACTGCGGTGTAGCACAAGCAGCGAACAACGCAACGCACAACTCATTTGGTCACCCAGATGCCGGCGCGACCTCGTGTATCTCATTGCATAGACGCATAACATGATGTTATTTGTTCAAAGAGTATATTGAAAATATATAAATATATATAAGTTTATTAAATCTTATCTAATAGTGTATCGTGATAAATTCATGTTAGTGACATTTATAAAGTAAAATAATGAATTGGACCAGGGTGAAAGGAATGTGTATTTTTTCGCTATCACATGTTAGCATATCTCGGTGAACAAAAATATGTTGTGAAATTAGCCCTTTATGGCAAATTATTCCAAGTCATTTTTATCGCCGTTTCTAATTCATAGGCAATGTGTTTCGCCAAGTGAATGTGGCCAATTGGCAATGTACATGATCGAAATATAACGTCGCTGGTTTTAAAACACCTTGTCTTCGATATAAAATTCTTGACTTCATTGACCACTTTACAAGGTTGATTGCCACCCGATTGACTGCTCGCACTGAGGACCATCATCGGAACTTCGCAGAGGAACTTGGAATCGTTCACCTGAAAAAATACATGGAGTCATTCTTGTCAGTGCGCGTAGAAGTACACCTCACGACAAATGAGGAGACACCAGGTCGCTCATTTTAACATGAAGTCTTCACCCGACAAATAATAAAAATGGAAAAGTCACCAGCTTACCGGAATTTCCCTCTCGGTATTCCTTGGTGTTAACAGAATTCTGAAACACGCGAGACAGCCGTTCTGAAGAGAAAATACACGGCAAAGATACGATTCCAGCAGACCATTGTTCTCACCGAGCCCAGCCTGCTGTCGGGGAAACTGCCGTCGGGCAAGCTACTGTCGTGGAAGCACACGTCGTGGTGCGCATCCTCGAGGGAGGCCTCCAGGCCGTCCATGGGGAAGATGGCGGAGTAGTCAGGGGAGCCGACCAGCGTTTCGTCCGAGTCGGAGCCGTGGCCGTCCAGGTCGGCGAGGCCGTCCAGAAGGTCGCTGGTGTCCGTCATGGCCTCGCACATGCCGTCGAACGGCTCCAGCGCGAGGATGCTGGCCACCTGCACCTCCTCGATATCCACGTTGTCGATGTCCGCCATGCTCTGGCGGCGGCGCGGCTCGCGGGGCGGACTGGCCGGGCTCTTCGGGGGGCGCGCGGCCATCACCTTGGGCACGGCGCCCTCCTTCTCGAAGTGCCTGACGCTGGAGGGCAGCGTTTATCGGCCCGGCTGCCCGGCGCTGCGTGGCGGTTGCCACTGGGTCAGGGCTGTACAACCTTTTATTACTCACACAGGGGGTTCTAGCAGCTGCTGCAGCGCGGCGTGCTTGGGGTGGCCGCGAGGGTGGCCCCCCTGGTGGCTCTCGGGCCGCTTGGTGAGGGCGCTGCGCAGCTTGGGCTCGGACTGCGCGGCCGCCGCCACGGCCTCCGGGGCCATCGTCGTCGTCGTCGGCTCCACGGCCTCGGACTGCCAGCTCCGCCACGGCCTTGTCGTTCCGTCCATCCCGGTCACCGTCAGCAGAGGCAGCGGCCGGTCGGACAGTGTCGTCTGAAAATAGGTAAAAACGGTGAAAATGCATAGAAATCGTGTTTTGGGCTGACTTTTGTCGGCCACTATCAGAACGTGCAGCACGCCTCGTCATGTCCGGCCCCTAGTTCTCCTCGTCTTCTTATCGTCACCAGACACAGAGTCGGCTCGCCCTGCTCGCGCTGATACCGACTTCCTCATTGAATTAGACGAATGTCCACGCTGTTGAAATAGAGTTCCTGTTGAAAAGCGTTTGTCCCCTCACCGCGGCGCTCGAAGTGGTACTACAGGCGTCCTGGCTGCCCTGGTTCCGCGGCTCGCCGAACAGGGCCCCGAGGGAGACGCCCAGCGACGCGCTGAGCAGCGGGACGGCCAGCGGGACGGCCAGCGGGACATCTCTGCAGCCGGCCGAGCTTGTAAGTTCGCGCTCCGGGGCCTCACACCTCGGGGCGTCCGCTGCGGCAGAAAATTCCAGACCCTCAAAGACGGTGACAAAATGCGTTCAAACTCTCTTAAAAATGTTTCCGGCAATAAAACAAAACGTTAGGCATTTGAACATTGTGCCAGATTTCGATTGAACCAGGACAGCTGTCGTTCTACAGGGGCAAGGCGAAGGCGGCGTGGCTAGTCAACGCCAGTCAAGGCGGTGGAAGTTCAAGCGGTGGAGCCCCGAGCGCCTGCGAGGCGGGCCGTCCGGCGGCGCTCCACGCACGCGCGCTCAACGCGTGGCCTACCGCGCCGGGCGCTCTCCGCGCTCCCCGCTGCCTTGACATGGCCGCGCGGCCGCCCGGCCCGCACCCTGCATCCCTTTCTCGGCCCTCTTGGCCTGCTCCGCGTTTGCTCCGCGTTTGCTCCGCGTACTCACAGGGTGGCGCGGCGGCGTGGGGCTGCTCGGGTCCGCGGGGCGGCGGCAGGGGCAGCAGGGGCTCCTGCGGGACGCCAGACACGGTGAGCAGTGCGGGGGGCAGGGCGGTAACGGCCGCAGCAGCTGAGAGTCTTCTTCCCCCGCCCCCACCCCCTGTAAGGTCATATGGAGCCCCCCCACCCCTTCCCTCTGCCGCTACACTAGCTCCTTCCTCGCCGCGTCTCGCTCGGCCGCCCGGCCCGCCGCACTCCCTCTCTCTCCCTCGATCGATTACCCCCTCCCTCCCCCTCCCCCTCGGGGGCCCTCGGCGGCCTGCAACTCCCTCTGAATTATGCAGAGTGCACCGCGGCTCGGCCAACTCAATTTGAGGCGAAGTTAAACTCATTGAATAAGTGGCGGATCGCGAACAGCGGCGCCGCGACGGATTCGCCTCTAATTTTTGCGCTGCTCGGCACGCGCGACAAGTTGCTGGGCCCGGCGCGGCACGGCGCGGCACGGCGCCTGTTGGCCCGGAGACACGGAAGGGCTCTTGGACAAAGAGTGTGGTGACAAAGGAAAACCGGAGTCGCTGAGGCGGGCGTCTTCCACCCCCAACCGCCGGCCAACGCTTCAGAAAGAAAACATTCCCCTTTTCGGCCTTAGTATGCTGCCGAATCTGCCGAATCAGGTCACACTGCGCTGCGCTGCGCTCCCCTTGTTTTTGTTTTTGCCGTCGTTACGCTCTTGTTGTTATGCCGCCCCACCCACACGGCGGCCGCGCGGCGCCAAAACTCGATTCCCTAATCTCGGCAGCGGCGAGAAGTCGAGAAGGAGCGGGAAGGGACGGCGAGGGAGATGGTATCTCGCGACCACGCGCTGCGGTCAAGGGCACGCCGGGGGAGGGGGAGGGGGTCGGGGGCCGGAGGCGCGGGGGGAGGAGCGGGGGCGAATGTTAATGCTAATGTGTACCTAATAAGTCTGTGGGCCCGGAGCGCCAACTCTCGGCACAGCAAAGTTGTGTTTCGTGACCAAAGTTCAAGAGAAAGACCTAAACGGCCTATACGGCTCGGCCTGCGTGGACCGTGGCGCGGTGGCGTTGCTGTGGCGTTGCGTGGCGTGGCGTGGCGTGGCGTGGCGTGGCCAGGCAAGCCGCCGCTGGGGTTGGAATTTACAGGTGTGCGTTCCAGGATGGCCGAGGGGTTCGTCCAACCAGCGGTTGCCCTTTCGGCCCTTTCGGCCCGCAGTCCCTTCTCCACGGCGCGAGCCACGGCGCGTGAAGGTAAGCAAAGGGTCAAGGGTCGTCGGAAGCGAAGGGCAAAGGCAGCAAAGGCGTGCGTCGTAAAAATACAAATTGGACACGACCGGAGTTATTGCGAGCGGTTGCTGGACGGCTGGACGGAGGAGCACGAGGAAGGGAGGGAGACAGAAAAAAAGAGGGAGGGAGAGAGAGGGGCTGGATGGAGAAAAACAGCTCTCCTCGAAATAAAAGGAAAGACTCGCCGTGAAGAAAGAAAGCCTTCTTTTCCGGAAAAGATTTAGGTAACCGAGCGAACCCTCCACTAGGAGAAACTGCATCTCTTGACTCTACCTCGTCCCGGGTTGAGGTAAGGGTGCCAAGCGTTGCGAGAAAGACAATAAAAAATTATGCCAATTTCTTTTTTCAAGGTTAGAGGTCTGTTGACCTCTTATCCCGACAGCTTACCAGTTTTCACCAGTTTGCAGCTGCTCAGGTGCTTTGGGTATAGGCGGGTGTAGGCCACGAGGGATTGTACAAGGCGGTTTATCCGCCGTCCTCGGGCGGCATATTAAAGACGCGTTAGAGGAGGGGAAGTGGCCGAAGAGTACGCGAGACAAATGCGTGTCTGGCGGTCCCACCCCGAGCCCCACCCCCTGCACCTTGCCTGCAGCGCAGCGCTATGAACGCCATGGCAGCGCCGCGGGGTGACCACTCACTCGATCCGGCGGGGCGTCAACGGCTGTCGCGGCGATAAGGGGGCCTAAACGCACCGGCCGGGCCGGCCGAGCCGCAGGGGGGGGGGGGGGGGGGGCTAATCACAGGGCTGGGAACGCCCCCCGCGGGGACCTCCCTCTCCGTCCCTCTGCTGTCCTTGCCCCCCCCCTCCCCCCTTCGTACCTGTTCACCCTTTCTTTTGTCACCCGCCCCGAAAGGGGATGGGAGCCATTTATCACCCCCGAGAATGCTTATTACACTGGCTGCGATTTAGGGCAGGTCTCGGGATGTGACGTTGTGAGAAATTCAGCGGGAGTTTCTCAGTATCTCGATGCGTACCGCGACTGAAAACAATTGTGCTCGCCCGTTCAGGGAAGGTGGAACAGTTTTCCTCGATATGAGCTTTGTTACTTCGGATGCGTTATAAGTTGCATAATAAGTGCATAATCCAATTCACGATGATGAAACTCGCATATTGCTAAACGATCCAACCATGCCCCCCCCCCTTTTCCCCTCCCTTAACGGTGACAATTCATCTTCTTACGACGTATAAAATCCATCTTGCAACGAATGTAACACGCTCGCGATGCGACGCTACAAAATTGCTCGGTAAACGGACACAAAAGTCGTCCCCCACCCCACCCACCTCCTCAGTGGGGTCTTGTTACGCGTCTAGGGGCGCACTGTGAGAGCGGTGTCCACGTTTTCTCGGGAAAGTGACGCGTGGACAGGATAGGCCCCGCCTCGGCAGACGACCCCCCCCCCCCCTCCCATCCTTTCTCCTCCCTTCATCCCTACTCCGCTGAATAAATCATCCCGCGGCCCTTTCAGTGTGACCGATGGCCCTGCTCCCGAAAGAAGCGCATCATTCCCCATTTGCCCTCTCCCTTCCTCGTATACTTTTCCGATGAAAAATTGTGAGAGAAATTGAAGTTCTTCGAATGTCTGGAGGAACAAACACCAGAGACCTCACTGTCTTCTAAGTACACACTTAAAAATGTATGCTTGCAAGTGCACACTTACAAACGCATGCTTGGCCAAGTACACACTTACAAATGCCTATGCTTAGCATGGAGTTATAAGGAGTCAAGCATGCGTTTGTAAGTGTGTACTTGCCAAGTATGCATTTTTAAGTGTGTACTTGGCAAAGCATGCGTTTGTGTGTAATGGCAAGCATGCATTTGTAAGTGTGTACTTAGTTAGGTTTGTGGGTTGTGAAGTTGCGTCCTCAAATGTAATTGAATAAAACGGTTCTGCAAACTTCGGAAAGTGAAATACCCCTACACCGATCCACTAATGGCGCTGCCTCCGCGGAGGAAGCCCTTTCACGGCGCCGCCACTAAACCCCTCATTACGCGGACATTGCAAACAAAATAACAAAATGACGAAATAACGGCGTAACGACCTCCAGCCCGCTTTTACGGGCACCTTTCTCTAAGGCCGCGGCCCCCGCGGCCCCCGTGGGCCCTACCCTCCACCCCAAGGCTTCGGCGGTCTTTTGCAAGCCGCGCCTGTCACCCAGCGTGACTCGCCCTGCCTGGCCCCGGGTCGGGGCGACGTTCACGCGAATTTCAGCCCCCGTCACCGTCGCCGTGCTCAAGGGCTTCGGGAGGCACTGTCCGCCCTAGCGGCCTGAGGGGTGTCAAGGGCCTCACACGGTCACTTTGCTGCAAATGAATTTCTTTGCAGGAACATTTGTACGCAATTTTGCAGAAAAAAAATTAGAAACGTGCAGTTTTTTTTTTTGTATGAAAAATTGTGGGCTTCTCCGTGGAGCCCTCCAAGACGCCCAAGGCGCGCACGTGTCACCGACCAGGTTCGCCCGTCCGCCCTGCGCAGCCTCCTGAAGCTCCTGAAGGTCGAGCTCGCCGCCGGGGCCGTTGCCGGTCGCCGCCGTCTCCCCGCCGCCCAACTCGGCGAAGAAGTCCGTCATCATGTCCCGCATGGCTGCGGGGTGGAATGAAAGGCATTAATCAGCGGAGTGGCGTCCAGTCTGCAACGCGGCGCAAGGATTCGCATTTGCAACGCCGAGTTTCGGGGAAGTCAAACATTCCCCGGGTTTTTCTACTGCGCGCCGCGCCATTCCCCCACCCGCGCCGCGCACACGCACCGGCGCGCCTTGCGGTCACTCGGCCGCACCACTCATCATAATTTGACGCGCCCGCCCCTGGCCTGCCCTGGCCGGGGCGCGCACTGTACGCTCGTCAGCACCAAGTCCGAGCAACAAGTCCGAGACCCGAAGTCGGGGCTCAGGGTTGGACGGACGCGAAGGCCGGCCTTCTTGGCGTGATCGGAGCCGAAAAACAAATAAAATGAGGGTGGCGTGGCGCAGGCGGCGAGGGTCATGCTCGCGGGCAAGTGGGCACCGCCGGGCACCGGGCACCACAACGCCCACGGGGGTCGCCGACGTCACGCAGCACTCCGCGGAGCGATCAGATTCCGAGTGGGGTTTCTCTCTGTCGCACTCGGGGGGCTGCACGTTTGGGTGCGACAGAGACAGGCTGGCGGCCGGGACGAAACAGCGCCCACGAAGCGTCGGCCATTATTCGGGTGACTGGGTCCGCCGGGGAGTGTGGCGTAACTGCCCCTCGCCGCGGCGGAGGTACGACACTGTAAGGGTTCGCGCGGTTCGCGTTTTGCTCCTGTTTCGGTTGCCGTAATAGCGGTCACGGGTGTCGCAAACGCAGTCTCGCGGCCGCCGTCGCATGTCTGGCGCTGTTCCGTCGCCCCCGCACCCCGCGCACTCAATTGCTTGATCGCGCTGAGTGAATGCAGGGGCGCCAAACAATCTTTGCGCCTCGCACGCGCTGCGATGTGCCAAGCCTGGCCGGGCTGCCTGGGCTGGAGCAGGGGCGTGCCAGTGACTTTGGGCAGAGAGAAAAGGGGACGGGGTGCAACTCCCGTCATATTTCTTACGAGTTTCGCTCCGCCTACCTCCAGACGCCTCCTGCGTCGACACCAGCGACTCGAGGTACTCGGCGATGAAGCCGTAGATGTTGGCTGGCTGCCTGCGGAGAACCTGCAGGCAAACCCGGCAAATGACACACAGGCCGGTGGTGGCGGCCGAGGCCGTGGCCGTGGTGGCTTGCGAGGCCGTGCGAGGCCGCCCCACCTCCCTGCTGATGTCGTACACCAGCTGGGGCAGCTCGTCGGGGACGCGCAGGGCCTGGTGGCCGCCGTGCCGGTGCAGCAACACGTCCATGGCGGGCTTGCTGCGGACAGTGTGGCGCGGTGCCCTGCGGCGACAATATCTCACCGCCTTTGGGGGGCTTGGCGGCCGGGCTCAGGCGGCGCGTTGGGCACATTATTATCCGCGGCAGCGGCAAATCCTAGAAATCGCGAAAAAAAACAGCTCTCTTTGGACAAGTCTGAGTTCTGTGTGCGCGTGTGCACTCAAAACAGCGAGCACAAAACCACAATGTAAAAGAAAGCTTGAGATTACCGTCATCTTCTCTGCTGCTCGCAACTTTACAAGCTAGCTTTTTTCTTTTACTGTGCTTTTTGCCTTTGAGTTGTTGCACCTGCACCCCCACAAGCCGCAGGGCCACAGGGCCGCGGGGTGCATCGCGACTGCACTTTGCGTGCTGTGGGGTGGCGTGCCTGGCGTGCCGCCCCTCCCAGCGCGCTTCACCTGCTAGGGCATGGCCAAGCATGGCTTGAGCAAGTGCTAAAGCACGGCCGCGACCTTTATTGGTTCGCTGGCTTCGCTGCGGACTGATTCCGAGAGTCGCTCTGTCTCCCTCGCATACGGGACGCTCCATGAGTGCGAGATAGACAGAGCGACGAAAACGACTCTCGGAATCAGTCTGCTGGACATGGCCCTGCCGAGGCAGTTACCGTAAATTAATAGCAGTGCCGGGCCAGGGGTGGGGGGTGAGGTAGGCGGAGGAGCAGTGTAGTGCCCCAGCCCGGGACACCGTAAGGCGTGGCCGGCAAGGACAGTGGGTAGACCTGGGGGATTCTGTGCATGTGCATAATGCATATTCATGCGCCGGAAGTCCTTTGCTCGGATGTATGCGCTTAAGCCCCGTGACACATTCGAGCAAACCCGAGCGACTGCCGAGGGTAGTGTGCATGCGGCCCTGTGCCCAATAATGAATGTTTGTTGGGAGGGAGGGACTTTCTTTTGCAGTAATTACTACCCATTTTTTTTTTTTAGTTTTAAATATTTTTTCTTGTTAGGAATTTAAAAGGTATTTATTCGTAAAAAAACACTTTAAATCAACTTGAAACATAATTTTCTATGGAAATGAATGGACATTCTAACATGAAATTTTGACCCGAAAAATGCATTGATAAGGGGAACACCTCGTCAACGCAGTCAGAGTTGTGTCGTTCTGTCTAATTAGCGGCCAAAGAAGCCATTGTTGGTGTTTGTGTTACCACCGTTTTGCTTGTTTTCGTTTTGATTATTAATGGTGCCAGGCTTATTTCCACCACCGTTGAGGATAGCAGGGATGTTTAGTAGCCCGAAGCCCTTGGTTTCAGAAGGATCGACACTTTCGCATTTGCCTGAAACGCATTTCACTGCACTTTGAGAGCTAGAGGTGAGCTCAAGGGCCCTGCTTGCTGTCAGCATCGCTGCCATGAGCAGGAACAGACAAAACACGGACTGTAACAGATGGAGCATTGACGACCGTAAGAAGATATGAGCTATTCCGATTACACGTCAAGTGCATTGTTCCCACTCTCAGCAGTTCCCTTGGCCTTCAGTATACAAAAGGACACGGACATTGCCAAATCATTGAATTACAAAGATTTTTAAAGTTTTTACATGCGCTTTTATCAAAACAGTCGTTTGGAGGTTTCATTAGTAAGGTGAGTTAGGTCAATATACCGTGAATTTAACACTAGAGACGGCATTATCATCGATATCAATGTCATTATGAGAAACAGCTTGATTCTCCATACCTGGATCTTCATGGCGATGTTGGTGAAGTCCGTTCTGCTGTTCCAATGCTGGCATTGGCAATTCTGAACCACTGCACTCACTTATATAGTGCCACCAAAACCGAAAACGATCGCAGACATTACTAACTCCCCTTATCTTTAGTTTACCTGGGGCAGAAGCTAAACGACCGGGAGAAGACGAAGATGCTGTTCGCCTCTGGCAAACACGTGAAGAACCTACTCTCCAGCCAGTATGTTGTTCTGCAACGACAGCTTTAAATCTTTTAAAAGGAATCGTCGCCCTAAACTTCCTGTCGTTGCATACTTTATTTTTATGTCCTCTCTGACTGTGCCAGTCATTCTTGGGTAAGCATAGAAAATTCGAATACCTAAAAAACATCCGAACGAAAAGTATTTAAAATGTGTGAAACTCGTTCAATTGTTGGTAACTGGTATGTCTCATTGCTACGGTCTGGCCGTGCCTTTTGCAGTGTTGAGTTGACGGCTCATTTCCGTTGCAGTATAAGAGCCACAAAAAATATGTTCGTCTTTCGCCAAAGGCAAGCTGCAGCACCAAAACTAAGTGGCACGACACTGTTATCAGAGTCTTTGGCGCTGGTGGCACTATATATATAAGATGGCTCCTCGTTCGGAATCGGCAGTGTTCCGTGAGTTAGCCGCCCGGGCGGCGTGGCTAGCTTGGCGTGCCGGCCAGCCATCGTCCACCCCCAAGTGCAGCATGTAAATCAAGTGTAAACACAGCCCTCGTCAGGCCAGCCCCACACACACCTTCATGCATGGATGCACATGCACACACACACACACACACACACACACACACACAGAGTCACTTTGTGCACACTCTCCTCCATACAGGTGGCGGCGGCGACGCATTCCTGAATCCCAGTGCACCCACGGTGGAGGGCAAACAGGTCTCTCCGTCTAACCCTCTGCGACAGGGGGTTGCGAGCGGACTGATTATTCCGAGCGTCTTTTCCGTCACGCTGTCTCCTTCGCACTTATACGGGGCGCCATGCGAGTGTGAGAGAGACGGGGCGACTAAAACGACTGCAGGGCCCCAAGCAGTGCCCCAGGGCGTCGCCGTCCTTCGAGCCCGCCGGTTAACCTTTGCCCGCAGGTTGCTGCGTTGCCGTGGTTGCTGGCGACCGAGCCAGGAAATGACCACTCTGCTGTGAATTATATCGCCGATAGCCATCGTCATCTCCCTCGCCTTCCGCGCGGTAATGAGTCGCGCGCCAGCTTCGCGCCAGCTAGCCTTGTCGCTGTCTCTCTCGCACCCTTACGAAGAGCCCCACGAGTGGGACAGAGACAGAGTGGCGATTCTGATTCGCTCGGACGCGGCGAACGACGCGGCGAACGAAGCGGCCCACGTGTCGGACACGTGTCGCAGAAAGGGTCGCGTGAGTCATAACAAAGCCAGAATTAGCACTGTTTCTCTCCATCCTGCCCTCCCTCTTCCTCCCAACCTCCCATCCCCCTCGAATCCCCCATCCGTCACTGACGTCTAGTTCACCCGGCATCATTAGGGGCTTCGACCCCCCCCCCCCCTTCCCAACCCACCCGTTTCTTCAGTCCACTGGAGCGAGCTCGGGCCGCGGCTCAGCACGGCACCTCGCGGCCCTGCCTAGGCCCTGCCGTGCCACCACACTGCGACCACCATCAAGGAGAAACAACATTTGGCAGGCCTGCCAAATGGCCAGACGGGGCGGCGGGGTTGACGATGTGGCGTAGCGCGGCGTAGCGCGGGGTGGGTCGCTGACACTGCGGTCACGCCTCGGCGACATTTCACCTTTCCTCCGTGGCTTGGTGCGCGGACACTGCAAATCCATGGGTCGCTTTCCTTGCCACTCCAGTGGCCACTCCGCTTTGAATGCCGGAACTCGGCCCACCGGGCCCGGATTGCCCTCCCTGAGAGGATACCAAAATTTGGCACTGCGGCGGCCTGGGACGCGGCACGCCTGGATAGGGCGCTCGGAGACCAGAGGGCTATTTTGGCGTTCAAAATGGTGCGCCATTGGAGTGGCAAGGAAACTTACCAGTGGGGTGGAGCCGCAGGGCCAAGACGGAGGCCCTCACGGCCCTCATGGTCTTCATGGTCTTCATGGTCTTCATGGCCTTCATGGCCTTCATGGCCGCCACCGTGAACGTCGTCGTCATTAGCCGCCCTCGCAGCAGGCTGATTCCGAACCTTCGGCCCTCCGTCTCTCTCGCACTGCCAGGGCGTCCCGCAGCGGCGCGAGAGAGACAGTGCTGCGAAGCGCTGTCCGGAGCGCCAGGAAGGTCAAGCCGAAAGCAAGCCGACGTCGCGACCTTGGCCTCGCAGCGAAAAACACACACAAAAAGGGAAACCCCTTTGAGGTAAATCAGGTTGGCAATCATGGCCGAGAGTATTAATGTCCGGTGGAACTGCGCAGCGATCGGTGGCGAGATACAGACGGGGCGGGGCGGGGCGGGATAAGGTGTGGTGCAGGCAGTGGCGTTCCGTGCTGCAGGGGCAGTGCGAAATAGAATGCAGAGATGTTTCCGTGGGAATTCAACGGCTGTGCGCACAGGCGGCTCAACGCAGCGGGAGGGCTATCCTTGAGGTGACCTTGGCAGAGGGAGGCCTCCCTCTGGTGAGGGGGGTGAGGAGGGTCAGGGAAGTTGAAGGGAAGAAGTCACTAAAAGAGAAAAACGATCCCTGAGAAGAAACAGAAAGGGAGAGTAATGCGATTGTAATCCCCCGTCGTCTGTCAGCGGGGCTGGTTTATATTTTTCCCGATTCTTTCTGAAGGTATTCGGCTGGCGGGCGGTACGGATCCACTTCTGGTTAGTGAGTTCCAAGGACAGGGAGGGGGGAGTGGGGGAGCGGAACGACCACAGCGCAGCCCCTGTCAGGTAGGCAACAAGACACTAATAAATATTCAATTACGACGCGGAATTCCCATTTTACGGCGCGCTTCCGGCACTGAGGGGCTTGGCCCTGCTGGGGCTCGCTGGGGCTCGCTAGGGGGCCGGCGCGGCGATGGCGGACCGATAGAGCGGGGCAGTGCAACAACTGGGTGGCGAGCTGCAAGAACTACACCGCGAGGCTAGACGCGAGGCCTGAGGGAGGAGGGGTTGGAAAAAAATGCCAGTTTAGATCGAAGCGGAAAAACGCAGCTCTAACGCCGAGATTGGTCGGCGAGTTTGGCAGCAAAGTGTCAGAGAGACAGTGAGGCCACGCTGACTGAGACAACAAACATGAGGAAAAGCCACGAAAGGACTCTAGGAGTCACCCAAGAACTGCATGCCTTGCTTGATAAATTTGTTCGGACCAGGATGTCCAGATGAAACGAGCGAATGACTACGTAGGTGGCCGCCATTCTCTTTCGACAACATTATCACGGTGGAACGGGTCAATGGTCACTAGAAAAACGGCCAGATAGTACACTGTAGAGAAAATCAACGGCGGGAAAAGGTACAGGCACAGTCTGGTAGACAATTTGCCTGGTACCACCGAACCTCAGCCAGTTCGACTTTTGTGGTACGGAGTACGGTTTTTCTTAACATGGGCTCTTATGGGAAGCACGGGTTTTGGATACAGTTGTTCTGTACACCGTGAGTACAGCCGTACCTTTTTCCTTGAAATGTACGGCTTTTTTAACAGTGTAGGGCTACTGCCCTCTCAAAAACTAAAACAACCTCTGTTTGGAAAGTAAATTGATTCTTAAAGAGGCATATGTGTGTTTCTAATTAATTTAGGATTGAAAGTAGATGGGGAAATAGTCATAAAAGTAAAGATTTGAGTGTTACATTGTTTTATTTCAAAATGTATCGGAAATTTATAAACACAATAAGAATGCAACTACCACATACACACAAGTGGACAATTAATTAACTCTATCTACTCCATTGCTTTATTCTGAAGTAGTGATTGCATCATTCGTTATTGCTTGAACAACTAATTACCAAAGAACCAAAAAGTGCAATAGATACGTCAAGAGTCATGCATTCCCATACTTCCACTGAAAGATTTTTTTTTCGTAGAAACTGAACCCTTGAAAGGCTTTCCCCTCGCTTTCCCACTATAGAAGAGTGGGCGCATTCTCAAATTGATTGCTACTGCTGCAAAAGTTTCCTTATATGCCTAAGTAAGTGCTTTTCTAGGTTGTCAGACTGACTAAACCTTAACTTGCAAACTGAACATTTAAATGGCTTTTCACCTGTATGCATGCGAAGATGATGCACCTTGAGTTCGGCCGAGGTGCAAAACTTCTTCTGACAAACCGAACATTCAAAAGGCTTTTCTTTTGTATGAACGCGGCGGATGTGCGTTCTAAGGCCGCTAGATTGACTGAACACTTTCTCACAAAATGAACACTCGTATGGCTTTTCCCTTGTATGAACACGCAGATGAATTTTAAGATAACCACCTCGGGAAAACTTTTTTTCACAAATTGTACACTTATATGGTGGTACCCCTGTATGGATAAAGCGGTGGTTCCAAAGAGTACTGGAATGCTTAAATTTTGCTCCGCAAACTGAACACTCAAATGACTTTTTAGCTGAGTGGATGCGCAAGTGATTTCGTAGATGGGTGCTTGACGTAAAATTTTTCATACAAACGGAACACTTAAATGGCTTTTCCCCTGTATGGGTACGGAGGTGGATCTTAAGTGATCCACCCGAAGCAAACCTTTTATCACAAACTGGACACACAATTAGCCCTTCACCAGTATGAATACGAATGTGAATTTTTTAGGTTCCCACTTGTACTAAACCTCTTTTTACAAACCGCACACTCAAATGGTTTTTCTCCCGTATGAGAGCGAAAGTGCTTCTTCAGGTCACTCGATGAAACAAACTTCACCTCACAAGCGGAACATGCAAATGGTTTTTCTCCTGAATGAGTGCGCTGGTGCGAATAAAGTATCGAACTTGTCGTAAACCTTTTATTGCAAACCGAGCACTCATACGGCTTCTCCCCTGTATGGGTACGGAGGTGCACTTTAAGGTGTTCTCCGCGTCCAAATTTCTTTGAACAAACTGTACACTGGAATGGCTTCTCCCCTTTGTGAACAACGAGGTGCTTATCAAGGTTGCCACTTGAGCTAAACTTTTTCTCACAAAGTGAACACTCATACGGCTTTTCGCCAGTATGGATACGAAGGTGCAACTTGAGGTCACTATACCGCTTGAAGGCAAACTTACAAACTGCGCACGTGAATGGCCTTTCTTCTCTGTGGATAGAATGGTGACTTTTGAGCGAACAATTCGTGGAGAACTTTCTTTTGCAAACAGTGCACTCAAACGGCTTTTCCCTTGTATGCGTGCGAAGGTGCGTTCCTATGCTGCTAGATTGACTGAACTTTTTCTTGCAAACTGGACACTCAAATGGCTTTTCCCCCGTGTGAGTTCGAAAGTGTGTCTTCAGGGCAAATGCGCTGGGCCACGTCTTCGAACAATAACTACATTCAAACGGCATATTTGCGTGATACGGAACAGCGTCCTCGGGTGGGCAGCTTGACCAACCTTCCTGTTAAAACCAATGCGCGACTGATATCTTCTGTAGTGACTTCGGTGAGCCCTCAGGGCTGCGGCAGTCGGATGTTGTGTCCCACCCTCGTACAGTACTCGCGATCCGTTGTAGCTTATGTCGTGGGGCGTTAGCGGAAACTTGCCACGCGGAGTCTTACTGCCTGGAACAGCAAAAAGAGTTGTCAGTTAACAAAGAGAAGTAGGTCCATAAAAACACTGTTCACGATTTCTCAAAAACGGTTGAGCCAAAAAAATTCAAACTTGGTACATAAATTGAAAAATTTTGTATCCATGATTTCAAATTCCCAGTGCCTTTTTTTTCAAAATGGCATTATATTGCCATAGACCTGCTCGTGGAAGTTGGATCCGGTCAAGTGGCCTTTCCCACACCAGCCCCATTGAGGCCAAGCCAAACAGGATTGGGGATACAAAATCTCTGATACAAAGTTTTAAAATGTTCTAAAAGTGTTTTTTTTTTTTTTTTTTTTTTTTTAGAAATTGTGTGAAGTTGAGAATTAATTTTGACAATTATTTAGCAGATAATCTTTATCGGTTTAAAGTAAATCCGCGCGCCTCAAATTGGCACTTAGTTCCTGAAATGTGCACCTTTTAGCATATTTTCACTTGTGCACTTTGCTGCCGGCTGACCCGGTGCACAGTGTGGTTTCGGCTCCTCGTCGGAGCCAGGGGTAGCGTCCGAATAGCCATCCCAGATGTCGACAGTTGCCCTCTCCGTCTGCGCCGCCTGCCTCTGCAAGGTGCGACAGAGACAATGCTAGAGCAGGTAGAGCGCGTACGCACCCCGGCGGACAGGCAGGCGCAGCGGGAAAGGGGGGGGGGGGCGGCGGGGGTCCTTTGGGGACCGGTCCCACAGCACAGCCTGCCTTCGGCGTTCCACATGGCGAGAAGTCGTGTTTTCCGAGCTGATCAGGGCAGTAGGCAAACAGGCAATGTCGCGGGTCGGGTTGAATCGGGCCGTAGCCGGGCCTGGTCAATGACCAGTCTCTGTACCAATGTTTGAATTTTTTTTGTTCCAGCCGTTTGGCCATCGGCCCCCCTCGCGGAGACACCGGGGACGGGGTCATTCCTGACTTCTAGTTCTGTGTATCTTACCTCAGGGACGCTGAACGAAGCCGGGATGCAGATGAAGCACGCTGAGGATGGAAGCGAGACGCGTCCCAGTTGGCGGCAAGGGAGGAACTGCTGGCCGTCCTCGTCGAAGTCTCTGGACGGAGTGCTGACGCGCTGTGCTGTGCTGGCTGTGGCTGCAGCGGGCTGCAGGCTGGCTGTCGGGGTCATCGTGAGTCGTCCTTTGTCCCGGTCTGGTCCCGGTCGCCCCGCAACGGGCTTCCCGAACCCGCCTCCTCAGCCGCCGCAGCAACACCGCTACCTGCGTGCGCCGCCGTGTGCCCTGCGCTGCGTGCGGAGGTGCGGAGGGAGGGAGGCGGGACCACGGGACGCGCCCCTGTACTGGTGCGGGAACAAAAGACGCTGCATGTCAATGACTTTTACCTTCAGTTCGACTGTAAAATCGCCGATATCAGGTAGAAGAGAAAGAGCGTTAAAAATTAATTTGCTCGGGCGTTTCTGCGTAACGGGGCGGTCTTCTGCGGTAGGACGCCGCTTCTCAAGCCGCGCGCCACGTGGGGCGCCGTGCTGGCCGGCAGGAAGAGGAGGGGACCACGGGAGGCATGTTGGTCGGGCAAGAGACGCTAGAGTCAGTTTTCCATCAGTCGCCGTAAATCGGCGCCGCATAGTAGGGCTGACGGAGAAGCGCGTTTCTCATACGTCGCCGCGGCGCCATTTGCGTGGCCGGCTGCAGAGTGACTGGATAATTTTAATACTACGCCGCGGCGCCAGCGTGGGGCTGCACGTGACGGCCGCGTTTCTCATACTCGCCGCGGCGCCAGCGTGGGGCTGCACGTGACTGGGCCGGCGATGTGGAAAAACACGAGGCGGTCGCTGGCGGCCGCGCGGGAGAGGCGTGGCGTGGCCGCGGCGGGCGGGGCCAAGCTAGGCGTCACGTTTTGGACCACGAGTCGCGGCCGGTAAACACTCGGCAGCCCGGCACTGCCCGGCACGCTGCCGGCCCGGCCGGCGGAGTTCAGTCCGACCGAGCAGGCAGCCAGGCGGGCTGGATGTTTGGGTCCGACGACCCGCAGGCCCGAAGCCAAACCGAATGAATCGGAGCCTTCGGCCGTTCGGCCGTTCGGCCCCAGTGCACTACTAAGGCTGACTATGGCTCGGCCAACGCGTTGCGCGGTACTCGACCCGAAGGCCGAAGCGCCGGGGGCGTTCCAACGCCCTGCCGCCCTGCGCCAAGGCCGGAAAGGTAACCTCTTATGAGGTCGAGGCAACGGTGGTGGTGTCACGCGGTGGGGACGGCTCCTAGGTTGGTCTCGTGGGACTTCTCAAGCGACGCGACTTCTTCGAACCCAAGTCCCCTATCAGTTCGGTTGCACGGTCTCTGCGAGTCGGTGGCGCACGTGCAGCACACGTGCCGGCACTGCAAGTCTGCAAGTCGCGGTGCTTGGTGGTGGGGACTAGTGGGGACAAGTGGGGACCAGGGCTCCCGCGCGCCGGGTTCGTTCCAAAGTGTCCTACCTGGTTCCAGCTCTCTCCCGCCCCTGGGCCGCCCCGTGAGAGGAACAGAGACGGGGGCACTGTGCGCGGAAGCAGCGCGCAGGAGACGCGGCCAGATGGGGCTAGGGATGGGGCGGACGCAAATAACGGGACGCCCAGAGTGATAAGCGTCAACAGGGGAGGGGGTGGGGGCAGGGGGCGCGTTCCAGTGGCTCCAGTGGCTCCAGCAGCAGGACTAAGGGCTGCAGGGGTCTGTCACGCATGTTCACAGACGATACCGCTGGGAAGCAAAGTGCCGCGCGCCCCGCAAGCCTTCAAGACATTTCCCTTCTTGAACGCAGCACGTGGTGCACGCGGCAGCACGGGTCCGGCAGGGCGGAGAGCGGATGCGCGGTCGTTGGCCGCCCGGTTCAGTTTTCCTGTGAACTGGGGCGGCGCGCCGCGGCGGGAGACGTGCTCCTGGTCCGCGCCACCGTTTTGTGTTTTGGTCGTACATGCGACTTTGTCCGCGGCGGACTACGTGACAGTCCGAGACACGTGACGTGAACCGCTGAAACATGCTGGTCTGGGGGGAGACGCCCGGCTGCAAAGTGCACATGTCGGGCCAGGCGCGGCGGGGCGCCGGGGGGCGGCGGGGCGGGGGGCGGGGGGCGGGGCGCGGGGGGGCGCGGCGGGGCGCGGCGGGGCGCGGCGGGGCGCGGCGGCGGGGGGGGGATCGCGCCGACCCCTTCCGCGGTGACGCTGCGACGTTTTATTTTTCAGGACGGTGAAAAGGCGTGCGATAAAGCCAAATCACGCTAAAGGGGGCCCCCTACCCTAGGCGGTCGCAACCCGGAAAGATCGGGGAGAGGGAACAAAAGGGAAAGGGGGAGGGACACCCCCTTTTTGTGAAGGGAGAGTGATTGAGAATATGCTCAAAGCGTTGGCCCATGCACTGGGGCGTCCCACTTGGGGCCGGGTGGGGGGCCCCGGGGTCTCGGGTCCCCCCTTGAACCCCCCCGCACGCGCTCGCGGCCGCGCTCGCGGCACGCAGCTCGCGGCACGCAGCTCGCGGCACGCGGCGCACCACGCCGGGGAGGCGTCGACAAGTATGTCAGTGGCGCGCCCAGTGTTGTTGAACAGGTGTGTGGAGGGGAGGGCACGAGCTTCCGCTCCTTTTGTACGTCCTCCGCGGCCAGGGCGGCAGGGGTTTGGGAGGATTCCCCGCGTCGGGTCGCAGAACGCAGAGGCCGCCTGCATTACCATGCCGTCGTTCAAATTGCGCGGGTCTGACTCCCCTGCCCCCACCCTTCCCTTCCCCCTTTTCCCCCTCTAGCTGCCGCTGTGCCGCTGTGCCGCTGTGCCCGGGCGCGGTGCGGCTGGGACCGGCTTGGCCCGGCTCGTCTCGGCTCGGCTCGCCCGTCGCGTTGCCGTCCACGTGAGCCGGGCCGCGGCGGGGGGCGCGGGGCGGAGGGGGCGTCCCCCGAACACATGCTCGTCGCGTGAGCTGACGTCACGGCCGCGCGGCACGTGGATCGCGGCGTGGGGCTCGGCGGCGGGGGGAGCGGGGCGCGGCGGGGCGGCGCGGTGCGGCGCGGCCGGCCACTCAGTCGACGGAAACCCGCCGTGTTGTGCCGGCCAGTCGTGCGAGCGCAGTGTGCAGCAGTCACGTTTCGCGGGTTATATTGTGTGCTATCACCGGGGTTTGAACCCCCGGGCCTGCGGGTGTGTTTTAGTGTTGTTTCGCTTCACCCTGAACCGCGGCTGGAGCGTTGACGCGCGCTGACGTGGCGCGGGCACCTGGATACGCCCCGCCACGCCCACCAGGGGTGCCACCCACCCCGACCCACCCCGACCC